AAGGTACTGCCCTAGAGGGTTGGATTTGGGCCACCTTCAACCTTCTCACTAGAGGGACCTCAGAGTTCATTTGGGCTCCCTCCTGATCATCTCCATAGTGATCAGGTGCTGCCCATCTCCTGATGCTGATGGCCAAGGGGGGACAGCTGGTGGCTCACAGGCTACATATCTCCATGTAGTCCTCCAGCAGTGGTGAGCAGCACCAGGACAAGCTGGAGTGTGCTGAAGCCTGATTTCAAAGAGAAGATAAAGGACTGCATGGGGACTTTGTACTTAAGAGAGCTACCCTAGGTGCCAGCCCTACTTCTGCCAGCTGATGGTGGGAGCTGGAAGGTAGCTGGTCTACATTGCTCATCACTGCTTTGAGCTCAAGTCCAAGATGGCACCAAAGACAGACTACAGATGGCAGCCTGAATTTAATCCCGCTTGCTCAGATGGCATGGGGCATGCTGCTTCAGGTGGACCTCCTCCCATCACTTCCCAGTAACCAAACTTTGGGTTTTATCATGCTACCCACAACCATATTAGTTGGGGTCCAAACTACTGGGAGCCATTGTACAGAGCCACACAGCAGTGGTTTCGGCCAGCTGTGTGCAGGACATACGGTAAGCAATAAGTGGGAAGTAGTGTAATTTGGGTTTCATTGCCTTTTAAAGTGGGCTTAAGGATGGCAAATAAGGTGTGTTTAACCATTAGGTGAAAAGCAAAGGTTGTCTTTTAGGGGCTGAACTGCTGGCTCTCAGTTGGCTTAAAAAACAAAACAACAGCAACACACACACAAAAGCATCTTTCTTTGCAATCCCTTCTCCTTATAACCCACCTGAATGGGATGCCATCCTGCCAGCAGCTCTGTCATTGACTTCACCTGTTCCACAGGGGTCCCTGTAGGTAACATTACAGCAGACGTGCAGGAAGGACTAGGCCCTACATGCAAGTGATGAGTTACAACACACAGTTTTGCTCTAATTATTTATAAGAAATCATTTCATTATAAATAGGTTTTTCAGTTAAATGTATTGCTAGCATTACCTTATTACTTATTCATAATTAACTAAATCATAGCAGATTTCTATGTTATTATCATTTCCATACACCATAAATTATTCAGAAGAAATGTTGGTCCTGTCAGGGTACTCGGTACGTGCAGATGAGATGAAGGAGCTCCCTAGGCCTGAGCAGAGAGCAGTTTCTCTGTCTCAAACATTTCCACAAGTGTGTGTTTAGGAGAGCTGGGAAGGAGAGGGGCAGGGGGTGATCAATGGATGCAATGAAATGCTGGCTCCTAATGTTACTGTTGAAGGGCTCCCTGCCCCATGCGGGGCATCTCCTGGCTGCTTTTCAGAAGAAGCAGAAGGAATGGCAGAGCTTATGGATGAAGGACCTAAGGCTGCTATGGAGCCACTGGCCTGCCTTTTCCACACTGCATTTCTTGGGGCTGGAATTCAAGGGAAGGGTTTTGTTGTCACTGCAAGCTCTGCTGGCCTCTTGAAAAATGAACGAGAAACGCTGTCAGAAAATTCACAAGCAAACTAAACTTAGAACCGTACGTATAAGGGACTGTAATGATTTGCTTCAGGTGAATTTACCTGGGAAACACAATTCTTACTCATGAATAACAAAAGAAAAATTTGTGTCCCCAAGCAGAATCTCACGAGCATTTTAAGATTTTTCTCATTGGCACTGGCATCTCACTGGCATATGATAAATAGGAAAGTCTGGGAGAGTTCTTTGAAGCCATTTATTACTGATGCTGTCTCCTTAGCCACGTCCTAATTGGAAAGAGCTTGGCGAGTCTTGGGCCGTGCAGTACAGTGCTCCATCACCCTCAAGCATGCCAGGGAGCTGGTGGAGGTGGGAACCAGGGCAAGTGTAATGGGGTCAGACGAGTGGAAGGAGTGATGAATTCAGGAACGGCGGCACAGTTGAGGAAACAGAAAGAATAAGGCTAAGCACCCAGCTGAAACAGGGAGCTTCATTTGAATAACATGATCCACTCCCAGAGCGGCTTTCCTGCTGCCAGCATGTCTGCACTGCACGTCTGCGTTTGCCCCTTGGGATGTGTGAGTGTATTGCCTCCGTGGGGAAATCCCTCGGGAGCACGGCTGGCCACCAAGCCAGGGCCCTGTTGAGGCGAGGAGCCTTGTGCCCGCTCCTCCTCTTCTCATTCCTTGCTGGGTGCCTTTTTGCATGGTCTCTACTATGCTGATTTCAATCCGTTTCCAGCTTTGCTTTGGATAAATGCAATAAATGTTTAAAAATGTTTCTCTTAAGGTGGAACAAAGCCCTGTGCCCTGCTGTTTTGCCTGGAAACCCCTGCAGGCTGCTGAGGTGGCAGGCCTGGAGGAAGGGACAGAGCAGGCATGACATGGGGCGCTTCCACCCCTCTGCTGCCGGGACGAGCCTCAAGACAGCCAGGCCAGCAGCACCAGTCACCTCCTCGCCTTGGAAATGGCCTCATCCTCTGGAAATGGCCCTGCTCAGAGAAAGGAGGGCTCAGCAAAGCCCCTGAGTCTGGCGGGTGCTCAGTGGGCCTCATGCCTGCACTCCCCTCCCCTCTCGCTGGCCTGGTGCTAGGGGAGGGGAGGAAGGCAGTGGAGGTGATGGAAACAGAGGAAGGAGCAGATGAGCTGCACCCCTTCATGCAACCCGTCTGGTATAAGGTGGCCACGGTGGCTCTGCCACTGGTGTGGCTGTGGAGTGTGTGCAGCTACATGCCGCGTGTCTGGCATGCAGATGTTTGACTTCCATTCGACTACAGTCACCCAGCAGCGGGTAGGTTTCTTATGTATCCGCATTTAATAGAGCCATCCTCAGTGACTGCCAACAGAGGGAGGTTTGTTGGATTTAATCCTCCGCAGCAGCCTGTGGGATGCTGGAGACAGATCCGCTCCTGCTATCCCCTGCCTGATGCCGAGCCAGGAGCAGGCTCGCTCCCCTTCCCTGGGCCATAATCACCATTTCTGCCGAGCACGGGCTCCCCGGGTGCCAGCTGCTCCCTGCTCGGCTCTGACAGGGTGCCCAGCAGCTCACAGTGCTCAACCCATCCTCCTTCCCCATGTGGGCCATGCTGCCGGCTGTGCTGGGGGCTCACACAGGATCTGGCTCCCGCGAATTTGCTCCGAGTTTCACTCGGCAGTGCAGGAGGAAGCAGGGGGCCTCCTTACACAAGAGCAGGGTTGGTTTCCTCGGTCTGGCAGACGGCACTGAAACTGTACTGTTCTTCTTCTGGAGAGTTCCCCAGTGGTGCCGGGAGAGCGGCAGGAGGGGAGAGCTGCAACACGATGCCTCTCGCGCCGAGGGCTGCCGGGAGAGCCGCGCTTGCAGCAGCTGGGGCCAGCAACGCTCCAGCCCCCCCCTTCTCCTCATGTCTGAGCCTCGGCCGAGCTCTGCCTTACACCAACTGCCTGCGGCAGTTTCCAGGAGTCAAGCCTCCAGTGAGATTAGAAAAAAAAAAAAAAAAGAAAAAAAAAAAGGAAATGATTAGTTTGAAAATTAGCAGTTTGGATGTGTGGATTTTAGTGTGGTGGGATGTCTCTGCCTGCTGCTGTGCCCAGCATGCCATCCCCTTGCTTACACTGGGAAAAATGAGCTCTGTCTCTGGCTTTGCAGTGTAGCCCCTACCTGATGTGGGCTGGGTCACCAGATCTGGTTGAAAACCCTGTGTGTGTGTGCAGTAGTGGTGGCACAAGGAGAGCAGTGCCCAGCTGAGACCGAGGGAAGGAAGGGCTGCCAGGGAGAGCAGCAGTGTGGTGTGGGGTTGGCTGCAGTGCCCTGCAAAACCTCCCTCTGCTTCTTCTCCCACCCCGTCCTGCAATTACAGAGGGCCTGCTGCAGAGGCGTGGGCTCACGGTGCCCAAAAAGAGGCTCACCAACAGAGCCAGCTTTCCTTTCCTTTTCCTTCACCACTTTTCTGTGTGAGCTAGCAACTGACATCTGTTTCCTTGAAAAAAAAAAAAAAAAAGTATAAGTGGGCCTAAAGGTCGATAACCTGTCTGTGTCCGTCCACACCACTGGTAAGAGCAGGAGAGGACGCGGTCCCTGCCCCGGGCCCCAGGGAGCCCTGGCTCCCCTCCGGGCACAGCGTGGCAGGCAGGAGTAAGCAAACAAGCAGAAATTGCCCTGACTTAGCAAGAGGTCATGCAGAAAGATCCATGCTGGCAGACGAGACAGTGTGCTAAAGATAACTGTTCGACAAACTATATTTACTCTCCCTTTCTGGGAGGACTTAGAGGGGATTTGGAGTATTGTACTAATACAAGCCATTCAGTGCCTGTGCTGGAGGAGGTGCCTCCTCCAGGCTCCTTCACGTTTGTGTCTTTACAAGCCGTGAGGGGGGGTACTGATGAAAGTAGCCTTGTCTCCTAATTGTTTTGGGAATGCACATCAGCCTGCTTGCCTTTCCCAACCAGAACAACTGGGCAGCAATGCACTACAAGCAAACACAGCTGCTGCCTTCCCACCACCACCATTTTGCTCCTCAGGCAACGCGAGTTATCCCTGTTCCTGCTCCCCTTCTCCCCTGCGGAGGATGTGACCCATTTCAGGGCTGTTGGAGCCAGGGGAAAGCCTGGTGCCTGTGCTTTTGGGAAATCTCTGTGGTGACCTAAGTAAAGGCAAACGGGGGGGGGGCAGTACTGAATGTAGGGGGAGGAGTGCAGAGACAATCCTCCCCAACAGGCGCAGTTTTCCAGCTGATGCTCGTAAGCTCTCCACTGTACGGGGAAAGAGGCACTTGAGACTTTGAGTATGCAGTAACCATGACGAATACAGAAGTACAGAAACAGCTCTAGGCAGCTAGAAAGAACAATACCGAACAAACAAATTAGCCATCTGTACCATTTCTAGCTCCTAAAAGTAAACATAAACACAGGCCCTGGAAAGAACCGCACTCATAACACACCATTTATCTCTGCTGGCCCTGGGGGCAGCGGGGACCAGAGGAGCAGGCTCCTTGCTGCCTCCCTCCAGGTTGGCTCTGGGCTGCTGGAAAACCTTCCTGCAGGCTCCAGAGTAGGGATGGGCCACTGGGGCGCTCCCCCCGCGGGTGACAGTGGCAGTGACACCATGGAAAATCTCGACCCCGGGGGGGAATGTCCAGTGTTAGCATTGCAGAGACTTCCTTTCCCAAGCCCTAGGCAGTGAGGGTCTTGTGATCCTTCCTCTCGCCTCTCCTTTGGGCGCAGCGGGGTGTTGGGAAGGTTATAAATACAGGCAACTGTTTGCTGTAATCCATCTCTGTCTGTGGGGATCAGCAGAGCATTGGGCTCTTCTTTCCTCAGTCCCGATTTATCTCTGATTGACTCGCCCATCCTGTGGCCACCATTCATAATCCTCGGCTCGTCGCCTCTCCTACTGAAGTCTCCTTATATGCCAAACACCCACGGATAGCTGCCTTAAAAACATCATCCTCTCGAGATGGAGAGGTGCCAGGGTGGTGGTGCTAGGGGTAGTGGGGCAGCTGCTTTGGAAGCTTCGTTCCCTTCTGCCCTGCCCGGTGGGAGATGGGTGACTTACTCCAGAGGAGAGCAGGTGGAAATGGCCAGATCTGGTAACACACTGTGCTGTGGGAGCCTGGACATATAGAGTATGAGGACCTGGACATTTGCTCCTGTGCTATGTACCTAAGGAAGGGAACCAGGCCCTGCAAACCATGACCATGTTCCCTGAGCTGCCCCAGAGGTACCTTTGCACAGCACTACGTCCTACCAGCTGGGAAAGGACACTGGTGGGACACGTCTCTGTGGACACCTCAGTTGTCCTCCAGCATCCCAGCCTGGGCTGCATCATGGGGGCTGCTCACTACCCGGCCAGGTTCAACTTTTGTGTCCCCTGGGCTGTCCCTGGCCTCCCGCAATTGGTGCAAGGGCTCCACAGGGAGTGGTTGTACGGGAAATGCTCAGCTGATACCACCACCAGAGGCCATTTGGGGCACGCTTGCAAAGCAGAGTTGCCATCTCATCGCTGTTCCAATCTGTAGGCAGGAGCAAGTTTGCTGTGACTGTAGAGATCAGCACTATCTAGGCCTGATTGCATCCTTTTGGGGAAGGGCAGAAGCAGGTGACACCCGAGTTGGGGGCAAGGATTAGGAGAGCAATGCAGACTGGAGGAGAAAACAAACACACCCATGAAAGGGCGGCAGACCAAGCCTGAAATCTGTCACTGTCAGAGAAAGAGCAACAGCAGCATCTGTCTAACAGCACATACTGATAGGGTAGGAGCTCTTTGTTGGAGTGTGACCTTCAAGCCATCGCCAGGAATAGATTTTGGCTCCGATTTCAGCTCTAAGTAAAGCACCTTCTCCTGTCACGGTTTTGAAGCGGAGGTATTTCAGTTTCCAGAAGCAAGCAGAGCTCGCAGGAGGCAGCCGATGGCCCTGGCATGGAGGAGGCTCAGAAAACAGCCGGGCTCTGCACTTTGTGAATGACACGGGGACAAAGAGACTCGATGGGCAGCATCCCCCATGTGCACTGCCTCGCACCAGCTGGTAACGAGGCTGCGTCTTTTCTTCTAGCCTGTAAGGAGCCATTACATTTTTTCAGTTTGTCCAAAGCACGGGGTATTTCTAACAGTGTAACTCAGCTGTTGTCCCAGGCTCTTGCTGCTGCTTGCCATACCAGAGCTTTATTTCTTTTTGAAGTCCCCAGCCAAGGGGAAGCATAGTTTCTGAACCAAGGAAAGCGGGCTCCCGTTCAAGTTAGCGGAGGTGCAAGATGGGACCCAGAGGCCAAACAGCCATCTGTTTTGCATGGCAGCTGTAGCTTTCAAGCCATATTAATCAAGCTTCCCTCTTTGACACCCTGCCCCATCTATTTCACAAAGGTGGCTATGAAATATAGTGTCCATGCTGTCCTTGATGGGAAGTGGGAGCTCAGAGAACAGAGGGTGGCACGAGGAGCCAGGAGGCACAAACCCTGTCTCAAATGTGGATCTGCACCCCCAGCAGCCTTCTGCACAGCCCAACCCAGATAAAAAAATAGGTAGCGTCCCATGCACATGCTGCTTGTCCTCTCACATCCCGTAACCACCTCCAGGAAGAAAATATTTTGCTAAACATCACCCAAAACGAGAGGTTTCAGTTCACTGGAAAGCCACATCTGATCTGCCTCTGGAGCCTGAGGAGCTGAAGTGAAAATCAAAACAAGCTCCTCAGAGCAGGCAGGGGGAGGGAGGCTGCTGCTTTTACCTCTCGTGCTTAAACCTCTATGCCTTCAGGAACATTTTCTCTGCTTCTCGGGAACATCACACCAGCAGTCGCAGAGGGGAATGCCAGCTTCTTGCTGCTGGCTGCGTCCCCCCCCTCGCTCTGCTGGGTGACCTGCGAGGCGCGGGGATATTCCCTGTCATGCAGGTAGGAAGTCTGCCTGGCAGCCTTTCAGAAACAGAGGAGCAGAGAGGGATTTACAAGGGCTGCTGGACGTGCGGAGGTCTGGCACCATTAGATGGCTTCTCGCAGGTGGGGACCACACTGCTGCTCTGTGGACCGAGCACTGCAGATGTTTGCCTCGGCCAGCCAGCCGCAGCACTGCCAGCAGGTTGGAAAGCCACCAAGACATGGGGGCAAGGCTTTTTATTCACCTTGTGTCACTTGAAATGAGCACAAGGAATGCAGCAGAAATCCACTGTGTCTTATAAAAGGGCACGTTTCTTCACTGTCCTTGTGAGGAATCTAGGTAAGGGAAGCTGCACCCTCCCTTCCCCAGGAAGCCAGGACCTGAAATTTTCCAGCAGTGGAAGCTGTGGTGGAGGCAGGATGTTGTCCTCTGCAGCCCTGTGTCTCCTGCTGTTGTTAGCACATTTAGCAAATTCTGGGATCCGGTTTTCTTCCTAGCAGTAGCATGCCAGCAAGATCCTACATAACCGGAGATGGAAAGAAGAGGCTCTGTGCACACAGCCCGCGACTGGTAGGAGACGCAGTGACATTTGGCATCTGCAAGGAAGTTGACAAAGCTGTTTTCTCCATAGGATGCCAAGCTCATGTGGCAAACAGAAAGAAGGGCCCTTGTAGATACCTGGCTTAGGATGAGCATCCTACATATGCACAGTAATGGCTGTGGTATTTTTGATGCATCCGAAAACATCGCGTGGTATTGCTTGATTCATAGTGGGTTGGCAGAGACCAGAGGGGGCGGGGGGGAGTTTCTTTTCATTTTGTCCTTCTTTTGTTGTTGCTGTTGTTCTTTTTTTTCTTTCATTATTATTATTAGAAACCACAGCACTTCTCTGCAGTGCTGCAAAAATCCTGGAGCACCTGAAATTGCCTGAGATGCTGCTGCAGAAATCATAATCCTGCTCCCCGTGCCACCAGGAGCCTGCTCACACCGAGACTCTCCAGAGAACGAAACCCACAGCAACGCACGGTGCCGGCTGCAGCCGCCCTCTGTACCCACAAGCAGCCTTTCTGTACAGGGCAATTACAAAACACACAAGGTTAGTTTTATTACCACATCCAACAGGCATGAAAGATGCCTCACAGGCCTGTGGGATAATTACCGGTAGTTAACACTCTCCCCAATTCCTGCCCCGCCACGGAGCAGGTCTGCAAGCTGGGAGGACAGGAGCTGCCTTGTCAGGACAGGGTGCACTGGCAGCATGCTGCTGCTCTTCCCAGGGCTGCACCCCCTGGTCCTTGCAAGGGGTGCTAGGGACCCTTCCTAGGGTCTGCTGGGTGTCTTGGGGTCGGGGTGGGAGGAGGAAGAGGCTGGGTGCCACGGGCTGCACCTCAGCCACGAAGGCCTGGAGGCAGGAGCAGGAGGACCAGAGGGGTTATGCCTCCATCTGGGTGCTGCAAGGGAGGCAGAGCAGCACTGTGAGCAAGCGCTCTTTGTTTTACAGATCATGGCAAAGCTCCTGGAAATTAAACTATTCTTCACGCGTAATGAACTGTGCGCGTCCTGCACAGCCATAAAGACATCAAAAGTAGTGCTAACAACTAATGTGTGCCATAAATACCAACTCATATTCATAGTATTTTCGCATGGCCATTACAACTAAAATATAAATGGAGTTTTTTATTTCAAACATTTAATATTAATCAAATGGTTATGAAAATACATAACAAACTACTGTGACACGCTCATGGCCTAAATAATAAAAATGAAATGGGTGATGAATTCCTGTGAAAATTTAATTTGCAAAATAAAGAACATTGCATTAATAAGACATAATTATATCATCAAATATTTACCATTATTTTCTGGAATCCGTTTTATTTTTATTTTACATAATAAAACAGTGGGTGCACAAAGCAGCAGGCTGGGCCCTGTCCTAACTCTTTCTGCGCCCCCGGGTCTCGCAGGCTGCACATCTGTAACTCCAGTTTTGATGCTTTGCCTCATTGTTTTCCTTTAAAGGAATACCAAATCTAAGACATTAAGAATCTTAGTTCTGGCATCTCCTCTCCTTTGTTAATCACTACACACTGGTACATTTGTTTTAATGCTCTTCTCTACCACAGATGAGGTGGCTGAGGCAGTTGGCTGGGACAGGCCAGGGGTGGACAGCAGTCTCACTTGGACCAGGGAGCGGGCACATGAGCTTCCCAAAATGTGACCGTGGAAGCAGCAAAGCTGCCACATCGATGTCCCTCTCCATCTGACTGCGAGGCCAGGGCTGTATCCAGCAGAGAGTGACACGGGTTGATGGCCTTGCCCCCATACTTGGCAGGAAAGGCCATGGGGGTGGTTTCTCCCCCAGCTTTTGGATGGTACAATTGCTGCTGCCCGGCTTGGTGTCATTCTTGTTTCAGGCTGCCCTTGCTTAACTCAGCCAGCGTCAAGAAACTCAGTGGGTTCTTGTTTCTTTTTTTTTTTTTTTTTTAGGTTAATTTGGAAAACTTCCCTGATTATACATCTGCCAGTGCAATTTACACCTCTGAGGATTGGGTTGATTAGAGAATCAGTGAGAATGATTAATTTTATTCATAGAAGGCAGGGCTACGAGCGCGCTGCAAGCAGAGCCTGCGATAGCGCACTGATACTTCCTTTAATTGTTCAGCTGGGTCCCTGGCAAGCCCGAGCTGAAGCTGCACGAACTCGCTCAGCAAACACTTCTGCTAGCCCGAGCTTCGGCAGCCCTGCAGAGCCAAACGAGGCCCGGCCTGCCTGCTGGCTCTGAGCTTGAGGCACAGCCTCCCCACATGCAGGAGCAGCCTTCTTTCTGCCTTTGGGCTGAGGCACGGCCACCTGAGATGCAAGGCTCTGGCCCTGCCTGGCCAGGGAAGGCCTGGGCACGCTGCTGGAGGTGACAGTGCAGCGGCCTCTGCTCCGGGATGGGGAAGGGGCTGCCCGTGAGGTACTGGTGGTCACAGCAGGTATGGGGACAGGGACATTGCCATTCCCCCTCCTCGGGACCCAGCTTGGGGGAGAGGCTGGAGAAGAGCAGGAGCGGTGGCAACCTGGAGGAGGTGGCTCTCAGGGGAAAGGTTAACAGAACTGGTCTGCCCAGTCTGCAAGAGCGGAGGATGAGGGCAGACGTGGCAGCGTGTCAAATATGTGAGGATTGCCATTAGACCAACTAGTCTCCAGGTAGACAGAGAGGGAGGTGAGTTGTTCCTCAGTGAGAGTGACCTGGGTTAGGGCTGAAGGAAAAACACGCCTAACTACCAGGAGAGGCAAGCCCTGGCAGAGGGCTGTCCCTGTCACCAAAGATATTTTAAAAAGGTTAAACAAATACAGGTTGGGGAAGACAGGAAGAGAGGGAAAGGGAGGCCAAGAGGGGCTGGATGATCTGTGCAAGGCCCCTTGAGCCGTACATGTCCGTGGTTGGTTGGGATTGAGGTGGGGACAGTGCCCAAAATGTGTCTGGTGAATTCCAATCGTGAAAGTGACTCCTCGGCCCAGGTTGTGTGTCCTCCTAAAATGGTCCTTAGCTTTGCAGAAAACCCATGCCTCTTGCAAAACAGGCCACTCAGGGCATCTACAGCACCTGTATCCCTGAAAATATGCACTTTTTTTTTTTTTTTCTTCTTTTAATATCTGAAATGATTTTCTGCAACCTTACTTCAAGCCTGGCTGAGTTTTGAACTCATTCAGATCAAAAGTTTCTTTATTGGCATGACTACAATGCCGGCACTGCCAAAGCTAACATATAATACAAATTAAATGATAAGTTGTATGAAATATTCTTTCATCCATATCCAACAGTAATATTGTAAGATGTAGAACCCTAACCTCCTTCCTTAAAAACATGAAGGAAAAAAAAAAAAAGTGCCAAAAAAGAGCAGCCAGGAAGAAAGGAAAAGTTATTCACTGCTGTGCTGGGTGTTAGCTTAACTGGAAAAAGGGGCTGAGGTTAAGCAGAATGAAGCTAATGTGTAGAATAGGTCAGTTTAGCCAATCCTATCATAAAAAGGCTGCTGTCTCATTCGTGGTCTATTTGAGCCAGGAAATTTAGGTACAATGTACTCAGGGATCTTACTTGGACTGCATTTATTTAGACCAGAAAATGTTTTGAGGTCATGTTATTTTAGGCTCAGCTAAACTCATTCACCTTTTCAGGTCCTGTGCCATGAACATGCTCCACAGCCTAAGCTACACAGTGGTGCTTGGTGTTCATCTACAGCTCCGAAGATGGACCAGAAGTAGCACACACATTTCACAATTTATAAAATATTTATAGAGCCAGATATGTGTGGAAGAGGAGCTAAAACAGGGGGAAGAGAAGCACATACTGATTCCACAGTGAAAAAATAAATAACATAAGCTTAAAAAAAATGGCTTTGCTGCCTGTTGCCCTTAGTTTAAGCAAACTCTGCCTGTAGCCAGGCGGTGACTTTCTGGCTTGTCCCTATTTCTGCCTGCCCGCCCACCCACCATCCTCTCTGTGCTATTTCTCGCTGTTTCCCCAGCTGACCCATGCCCTGTCGGGCTGCACCAGTGCCTTTTACGGCAGGGACAGGGAGGCAGAGGGCAAGGACACACAGCCGAGGTGGCATGAGCAGTGGGGAGCAGGCACGGAAGGCCAGGGGTTGTATTTAGCCCAACGAGGAGGAGCGCTATGAAAAAAAAAAAAACACGGGGCAGCCCCCGCCTTGCAGTGGGGCCATGCAAACCTGCCTGTGCCCATGCTCACTCCTTTGGCATCGGGGTGGCTGCCGTTACCGCCTCCCTGCTGACACAGGGGTTCGTCCCGAGTGCAAAAACAAATGGCTGAGGACCCACGTGCTTTGCTTTGCACAGGGCAGAAGCTAGGGCAAACCCTGTCACTCACCCGCAGATATTTTGGCAGCGTCAGTGGATATCTGCATGGCTGGGAATTTCAGTCCCTGCACATCTCCAGTGACAGCACGCTCTCTAGCTGAGCGTGGCATTTGCTGATCATTATTCCGGTGCAGTGAGCAGGCTCGAAGCTTCGCAGTCACAAGAAGCACATTCCTCCGGGTTTACCCTTCTCACGTTACCGGTGGCGGTGTGACCCGAATAGCGATTCGCACCTCTCAAGTGTGGCGGGCGCCGGGCTCCCACGTCCCGCTGCAAGGCAGGCAAGTCCCTGCCTGCTTCACCTCCGGGGCTGGAGGCTTTCCTGGCTGCTTGACAGTCGGGAGAGATGTCTGAAAGACACCAACCCGCCAGGCTTCTGTACGTGTTGGGAGTCGATCCTGCGTGTTGCCAGGGCTGACATTTGGGAACTGGCACGTGTGGATGCTGTCGAACCTGCGTGTGTATCTGGGGGGGCTTAGCTGGGGAATCTGATTCATTTCAGATATGCCTGCCAACCTCTGCTCCCACTGAACGACCCCCAGATCAGGAAAACTACAGCAAATGTGTCAGAATTATTTTTTTTCCCCTGTATTAGAGCTTTATTCAAGTAGGTATCACAGGTATCTACCGGGTCCTTAACTCTCGGTGGGGTCTGGCCCTACCTAGGGAGCTGACTGCAGACAGTGAAACGTATTTGTGAAATTAATGAGGCATTCACATGTGAAATGGGTGGCTGTTTTTTGGCAGTGCTGAGCATCTACAACTACTACCACATCCGCTCAGAGCATGTTGGCACGGAGCACCCTGGAAAATTAGGCCATGTTTCTCCAGTGCAAGAGGCTTGTTGATGTGTGGGATATCAAATGTGTAAAATTATTTGCACTTTGCTTCTTAATAACAATAAAAGGATGAGTCATAATTACTTTCTGGGAACATTAAAATCCTAGACACAATGCTTCTTGTATCGTACAGTGAGTCCGTGCAGCACAGTGTATTAAATGCTCTTCTTTATTACAGAATAGTGATGTCTAATAACTCCCGAGCTTGAGTTTCACCGCAGTATTTATAATTCACATGCATAATAACGTTTTTCCATTTAACAGCCCGGAGCAGACGCCGCAACATGTTACATAGCCCTGGTGCAAATAACGAGATAGGATGATGTCATTTGGTAGCGTTCCTCCTAAGCGATCTAAAAATATTCCCTCTCCCACCTTTCATTGCAGCCTTCTCCCTTCTGCCTGATGCTTTTGCGCCAGTTTCCATGGTAACAGCTTCTTTTGTAGCCCGGGCTGTGAGGGGAAGGATTCATGCAGATGTTGTCATTGATCCAACACCTTGCGGCAGCTTTTATGGCGCATTGTCTTCTTGCTTCCTGCCCTCGTGTCTCCCTTCCACCCAGTGAGAATGGCTCCGGACTCTTTCTCCTGCCCGCTGCCTTTGATCTGGAGGAAGGGAAGGGGAAAAGTATTGATTAGATTTTATTATGAACCCTAATCCTTCTCCGGGCACTTTCTGAAAGCTTAAAATAATGCGCCGTGAAGCCTGCCACAGGTTTCCTTGTCCAGTTGTTAAAATGGGTGCCTCATACAAAAATACTAGAGGGATCAAGAGTGTTAAGCGTTGGGAAACCCTAATTAAAACCTCCCTCTGACAGGGCATGGAAAACTTCTGCTTCATACAGAGCTGCTGCTGTTTTACTGCTTGCATAGCCTGATCAGAGCTTTTTTTTTTTTTTTTTTTTTTTTTTTTTTTTTTTTTTTCCCTTTTCTTTCTCCTGTTTTTTTTCCCCCGCTAAGCGCCTGGGGAAGTTTCCACATTTTGGCTGTGCTCATTGTTCAGCTTCTCCCCACCCATGCTTGTCGTTAAGGCTTGGCTTTAAGGAAAAGGGAGGGACACGGCAGAGCCTGTGCTGGAAAAGCTGCAGCATGGGTTGCTGCAGACATGAAACGCAGCAGCTGTAAGAAAAAGCAGAGAACAAGGAAATCTGCTTAATCACCTATTGTCTGCAGTTGTTTTGCATTCTTCACCTATCACTCGGTGCTGAAGCTGGATGCTATTCTCTCGATTGTCTGAACCTGACAGACCGATCCTAATGAACGTGTAACTGAAGACCTGGGCTTTTGCATCTGCATTATTTATTCACCTAAAGCAGGAACTCTTCTATATTTAGCATATGATGTCAGCGGGTTGTTTGCATCCTCCGAAAATTGGCAGGAAGCCACGTCTCCCATGTTATATGAAATCACCGATAAATGCTTCTTTTCACTGCAAGAAAAACAGCTTAATAAATGCAGCTTTTCGCTGCTTTCATCCTCTCCCTCCCCGCCACGCTCCCTTCCACTTCTGGGATTTGCCCCCCCCCAAATGGCAGAGCTCAGCAGCATCTGTGAAGTGGAAATGAGCGCACAGGACCGCAGCGAGGGGAGGCTGTCGGTGAGCTCAAAAAGCCGCTGCCCTCCCAAGCCCCCCCCTTGCCTCTCCCCACCCTCCCAAAAGCTGGAGCGCGGCCAAAGCCTTGGTGAATCAGGCGGAAGGGAAAAAAGGGAGAGAGGGAGAGCCGCTGTGCGGCAGAGGCTTTGCGGGGCCGCTGGTATTCCTGGTATGTAATTAGTTTCAGTTGTTTTTAGCAGGCAGGGAGCAGGGGGACAGGGAGTGCTCCCACGCTGGCTGCGCAGTGCAAAAATGGCACCCTGACAGATGCTATCACTTATCTGCCCTGAACGCGGCTTTGAAGCAAGCGTCCGGCAAAAAAAAAAAAATAAAAAAAATAAAAAATCTTCCATTCGCGCTTTCGCAAGGGAAAGGCAGCCTGCACGCCTTGCTGGTGCTGCTGTGAAACCAAAGGTCATGCAAAAATAGCTAGTTTTATGCATAAAAAATAGCTTCTGGTGCCAGCGCTTCAGCTGCTGCTGCCTGGCAGGGCTCCACCGAATTTCCATGGGCCGGTTCACGCCAGCTGCAGGCCTGATCCTGGCTCCAGCCGTGGGGCGAGTCAGGGGAGTAAACCAGCTCCGTGCAGCCCACGCTGCCGGGGCCATGCCCGTGCTGTGGGTGCAGGGCTGGCTTTCCAAACCCAGCAGGTGCCAGGGGTCTTGGCGTGTCTGCGCCCTCCGTGGCAGCGCCAACAGGGCCATTTCCCTGCCATGGTTTAGCACAGCAGCTGCCCCAGCAGTCTCAGCAATAACCATGAAGGTGCGGGCAGAGCTCGGGCAGGGAGCAGGCTGAAAAGGAGGCTGGTATATCCCCAGCACTGCTGAACGGCAGCGTTGCACAAACACCATCCGCAGCTGCTTTGCTGGCTGTGTCATGCCACGAGGAGGCGGGGGGGGGGGGGGGATTGGAGAGAGGCTTTAAGGAAAAGCAGGAGGGGGGAGACGTAGCCTTGCTGCAGAACCGTGAGGCTGCAGATGAATGACTTCGCCTGTTCATTAAACAAGCCCATTCAAGCTTCCGCTCCGCTGCCATTTGCTTGATGGGTTTGAACAATAATGAACTAGGAGGAAAAACCTGCCCCTGAGAAATTCAGGCTGTTCCAGCAAATGGGATCAAATGAAGTTGGTAGTATCATGTGGCCTGCTAATGTTCAGAAATGACATCCATGTATCCCAAGCTTATTCAAAACAGCATTTTGCTTTGTTTTTGGTGAACAGGGCGACCCACAGGTTAAGCATCAGAGAGACATTTGGGAGGAATTAAACAGGGAAAGGTGGGGACAGAGCACAAAAGGAAATGCTTTCAAGAGCTTTAGCATAAAACATCCTTCTATAAAGGAGCATGTGAGACAAGGTTTCAGATGAGACAGTTGTCCTCCCTGGAGAAACATCATGAAGTCGTTACAGAAAAACTCATTAAAGAATAAAGCCAGCCAATGCCACAAGATGACGGTATCTCAGTAGTCCCAGATGTTTGCTGCTCTGGGAAAAGGGAGGAAAGACTACTCCCCAAATTCGCCCTGTGTCAGCAGGGTACTCGAGGAAACTCAGAGTGAGGTTGTAAAATAAAGAACAACACTGCTCATATAGGCAGCTGCTATAAAGAGCTAGCTGCCATCTCAAAACACCAAGTGAGTCCAGGTGGCCAGCACTACACGGGCACCAGTTTTGCTTCACACCTCTCATTATTTCAAGAGGCCTTTTCTTGGAGGTTCTCGTTTTGGTACAGCAGTCCGCTGTGGTGTAAATCCCAGCTGTGACTTCAGTATCATTTATCAGCTGAGGAAATGAAGTGAGGGAAGGCTGAACTCACAGCAGGCCTGGTGAGCATGGACACCATCGGGTGGCTCCAGGCAGCAGGAAGCCCGCTAAGCACGGACTAGATTAGTAAAGCTGCGATTATTTCTTTTCCCTCCAGGGAAACCTTGGAGATAAACTGTGAAGCTTTGCTCAGGAGCAGAGGTGATGGAGGTGGCATTCAGTGGACGCATCCTCTGTATTCTCCCTGCAGCTCCCTGCAGCATGAAACTGCTCTCTCCGGGCTGACAACTGCAGCAGAGGCACGTTATGTTTGCTGCTTCAGACTGGAGAATTCAAGGGCCATTCAGCAGATTACCTAACCCTAAAAGCACAACCAGTTAGTTTTGGTGCTGTTGAATTGCTATACTAAAGCCAGAGAGATAAAATGATAGGATGTCAGCAGCAGAGCCGGGAGGTTAAGGCAGATGTGCTGAGTCTCTCTGCAGGGCCAAACCACACTGTGCACCCTCCTCTTTGGCCCCAGCAGTCACATCTTGTGGGCTGCTCATCACGGTCAGTAACAGGGATGTTCTGCTCTACGGGGTCAAAACAACATTTCGCATATTTTCACATATTGTCTTAACACAGCAATAACCTGGTTCTTTACCAGTCTAACAAAAGACAAGCTGCCCTCTGATTTTTTCCATTATGTAGTATTTTGCTTCACGTGAATCTGCGAAGAGAAAAATACCTACACATGCCCAAAGTCCCTAAACCCAAAGTCCCTTATTTCTTATTCTTATAAGAAATAAGCCATTAGTGACCCTCCATTCTCTCACATCCAGAACAATTTCCATCTGAAATCCTGACAACAATGGGGTGATTCAAAGCTCACAGATGTTTTGTGAAGATTTTCCGAGAACATCCAGTCAGATGAATTTCACAAGTGGTCCCTGTTTGCCATCAGACAAATATGATATATGCTAGATTCACCTTTACCCATAAAGCACTCGACTGAGGCTTCATCAAAGAAAGTATGCTTTTCATCATGCTTTTTACTGGCAACAGAGCTGTGCCCAGAAGCACTTTGTGCTAAGCCTTTTTCTTGTAAATACTTACAGGCTTATTGCTCATCCCCCTTCATTGAGGACGTGGTGGGGACTCACTGAGGGGACACCTCCAACACAGTTGTGGTGTGGCCAGTGGGGTGCTTTTTTACGCTGGGCTGGGGAAGAGAAACAGATTACTTTCCCCAGACTGTGTTTTTGGAGCTCAGCCTTAATTGCAAATGCGATGCCCTTCAGCATAATCAGTTATTGCCTTGTTCTGTGCTCTCCTAAGTGCCTGACTGACCTTCACTGTCCCTCCAGCTCTTTGTCCTGCCTGGCAACAGATAAGATAAAACTTGTCAATGTGTTGGAGAGCTCTAGCAGATCTTTCTCATGTGCGTTAAGTTGTAGTTGTTCCCTGACATTGTGTTGCCCACTTGTCCAGCTTTGGCTGTGATTGATGGAAGCTAGCAGAAGTTGTTTCAGCAGAAATGGCAGCCCTGTGACAAGGGAAAAGGTGGGATCAGCTTTGGCTCGCCAGAATGAGAACTGCAGTGATGAAGCAGAGTCACCCCCTGCATCTTCTCCACATACGTCAGGACCCATTTTGTGTCCCACCCCCTCTTTCTTGTCTGCTGGGGAACAGAATAAGATTTACTGGGACCTGTCAGGATTGTCTTCCCCTTCTTCTCCCTCTTCCTCTCAGCTTCATCTCATCTGCCCTCACTGCTCTTTCCTGACCTTGTCCTTTTCACGCCTCTTCATTAGCTCTCTTCTAATAAAGACCTCAAAACCCATCTCAAACCCCTTTTCACGTTGATCATGGTCTGAAGGCAGTATTTGCAGAATCATTTTCTGTTCCTTCTGCTTTCTTGCTCAATCCCTTTTTATTGTCTTGTCTCTCTAGAGATAGTTCTTCAGGTCAAGGACTGTCCCGTGTTTTAGATCTGTAAAATGCCTGCCCCCCTGCACAGTAAAACAGGGAAACCTCACGTGCATCTAGATCCACCATAAAACTCAAGAGACGTATGCTCTGTATTAAATTTGCCTTTCTGACAAGGGGGCTGGGCTTGTCCCATGGGCCAGCCCTGTTGGAATCAAGGGACCCGATGGCTCTTGAGTGTCTGGCCTATGGAAACTGAAGCCAGAGGGAACATCCTCGCTTTGCGGCCTGAAGTCCCCTAATGGCAATGGACTTTGTTCCCTGGTGGCGAGGTGAAGCAAGGTGTTTGTGGAGTGCCTTGTGACTGCTTGGCAGGCATCTGTCCTTCCTGCTGCCAGCGAGGGTTGGAATTAGGTGCTCATTTCTGGGATTGTCTGATGGGCCCCCCTTCAAAGCACAACAGACAGGCCGGACTCCTGGACGCAACTGTAGGAAAACACATTTGGTGGGTTCATCTGCAAACTGAACCTAACGGCCTAGGCATTGCAATGTGGAAGGGGGAGATGTGACAGGGGTTCCTGGGTCCTTGTGGCCGACCGGCCTTGTCAGTGCATCCCCCAGCCTCCGGGGGGGAGGCCAAGGGGAAGGCAGCCGACCGGAGGCGGCTGGCAGGGTGAGGCGGGCAGGGGCTGGGAGCCCCAGGCAGCAGTGAGGGGTGGAAGGAATGCCTTCATGTGGAGGATTAATTGTTCCTCTGTGCTGTTTCCTGACTCTTTGAGAAGATCCTTATAGCCTGAAGTGGAAAGAGTGATGCAGTGTTGGGGGAGCCACTACCTAATTTCCTCCTGGCTGTACAACATGCCGCCTACGGCTGGCGGGGTGAGGCTTCCCCGAACCAGCAGCTCCCCTGATAGCAGGTCGTCTGGCTCACAGCAAGTGGGCACAGTGAGGGAGCGAACCTCTGGCTGCTTCGCTGCTCTCCCAGGTTTTTAATTTGGGAAAGATGCTCATTCTGTGCTTGCAGGGTGGGTGGAGGAGGCTCATGCTCTCCTGCCGTGAGTCACTCTGGCCTGCAGGTCACACACAGCTCCCTCATCTCTATAGGGTGCCCTGAACCCCCTTTGGGACCCATCACCATAACTGGTAGTGTTTGTGATTGCAAGGAGGCAGTGGTGGTTCCAAAGGGCACTCTGGTTTGGCCAGTCTGAAGTGCTGCTAGCATCTTTGCCACCATGCAAGCCAGAGAGGGTGCCTGTGCCTTCCTCCTGTACCAGCCCAGCTCTCCTGGTGCTGGTGGGGACTGGGATCCAACTCAGTATGAATAAGTGTGAGGGATGAGGTATGCTTATATCAGTCCTGTGTTAATCATGGTACCATAAGGGTACATGCTACTAGGCAGAAGTAAATCCACTGACTACCCAGGGGGGACTTTGGGTGGGAAGCTGTGGTCCCGTGAGCAGTGGCAGCTTCTTGCCCTAGTCATGCAGCCTCAGCCAGCCTGTTCTACAGCCTGTGCTGTGCTCAGCCAGGAAATCGTGGTGGAGGAGACGGGAAAGGTGCCAGCGGCAAGGGTGGCACAGCAGGAGGGTGTGAGGCAGCTCGCGTTTGTAGCCTCCTGCAGGCTCCCCAGCAGCGTGGGCAAGGCCGAGCCCAGTCACGCTGGCAGCCATGTGCAAGTGGCCGCCCTGGAGCCTCGGGCTGTGGCAGGTTGACACCTGCCATCACCTCCTCACACCATGCCCTTGGCCCGGCTCCTGGGATCAGATATCCCAGCCCTGTGTGGCTGCGACTCCCACTGCCTTGGGTCAGAGGTTGGCTGGAGGGACCCAGCCGTGGCTCTGGGCTGTGGCCTGACACAGGTGACTCACAGCTCCCTGGCTCCATGCACACGATGGGCCAGGTCTGGACTTCTCCTGCTCCAACGCCAGGAGCAATCCTTCCCACTGGGCTGAGCCAGCAGACGTGTGAGGGGTGGCCATCTGTAGGGGGGGAAGCTGGTGAGCGTGTTTGCCATGATTCCCCTCCAGCTGGGTAGCATTGAGCACCAATGAATAAATAAATAAATAAACAAATAAAATAAAAAGCTCTTTTTCTGCTTGTTTAACTCTGTTCCTGCATATCAACTGCAGAACCAGCTGTGGGAGAAACCGGCTGCACAGGGGCCATAAACATTGCAGTGCATGTGTGTCTCTCTTTGTAAGAGCCCATTGCAGCAGAGCTTGCTTGCCCTTGCCGTGACTGAACCGCTTCCCTCAAGGGTCTGGTCAGCATCAGATGTGCACATGTGCAACATCCATTTAAATCCACAGCAAACACGTGTGCACGTTTTGTGTGGTGACAGAGCCCCCAGCCCACACAAAAATGCATTTTAAACGGGCTTGGAGGATTCGTGTTGTCATTAAATTTCAAGGAACAAGGCCCACTCCCTCACTCCTGTGCCCAGGAGACCTGGGGATGTGCAAGCGCGAGGGCCCAGACCCCCGGCTGCCTCCACGGGACGGAGAAACGCGACCCCGGCACTTTCTCGCTCGGCGCAGACTTCCTGCTGCAGCCCTCCCCTCCCTCCCGGCTCCTGCGCCGAGGCAAAGGAAATGTGCTTAGCCCTTACTTTCTCACACATGTTTCAGATGTGCAGGGGTGTGATTGTAAACAATGTCATCAGCCGTGCCAGAGCTGTCTGCTCCTACCGCGCTCTGTTCCCAGCACCCCAGGGGTTCCAGTAATAGGGCGTAAAGCAAACAAAGCAAAACAGTAATCTGCTGTTCCAATTGCATTTTTGTTTTTAGAAAATGTTAATGATAGGTTATGTGATTACCCTAGGTTTGGCTCCACTTACTCTTTATTAAGCACATCTGGTATTTAGTAACAGTGTAAGTAGCAGGAGTTTTTCTGGCGCACAAATAAGATTATCCAACGTTGCCATGCAGCATGGAAACTCCTCAGGGAAGCCAGCGAGCTGTGCGGAGATACAAGACTTTCTTGTCGGCCGGGCAGCCGGCCAGAATAGCTAAAAAATGTGGATTGGCACGGAGCTGTTGCCACGCAAACACTTCTGGAAATTTCTGTGTTGGGGCCTGCCAAATCCTTTATATGTAACATGAGTTTCTGTCTTCCTCAGCAGCCCATCCTGAGCCTGAGCTCTCCTGTGCACTTTAAAAAGGAAAAAGAACAACCCAGCGCAATCCTCCGGTCCTGTTTCCAGAGCGCCACTGCCAAGCTAACAATTTCACTGAATTAGGGGGAATTTCCTCAAACATTTGCTCGAGCTACATTAAGTGTAACATGTGGGAGACAACTGTGTTTCCTGGAGAAGAAAGGAAAGCTGTCTCACTCGGTGGAGACTGCCTAACGTCTAGCAGGAGAAAAACAACCAGCCATGACAAGAAAATGTTTTTTAAAACTTGGCACAGGAACAGGGTTTTATTTATTTTGAACGCCTTTTCCAGTCTGGCCAACATAGCGTGTGGAGGGAGGGAAGCCGGTGTTTCAGCTAGGGCCCGCGGCGCGGAGTCAGGAGGTCTGGGCTCTATTTCTGGCTCTGCCGGCCTTCCTGTGAGGCTCAGGTGAAGCCCTCGGAGGTGAGTCCCTCGGTGCCTGAGCTCCTCCGCAGGTTTAATGAAGGCAGCGTTTGCCAATTTCATACATGTTTGTGTGCGCGTAGGCTCCGTGTCCAAAATTACTAATCCTTTAGCTTTCTTAGGGAAAGGACGGGGAAGGATATGGAGCAGAAACGCAAACGTTCATCTGCTGCTCCACTGTGCTTGGCTCCTGCCAAGGCGCTGGCCTTGGGAGCTTTAAACTTGGTTGCTCGGCATCTGGGGATCTTTGTGGGTGTTCCTCACAAACCCCGGTCAGCTTTGGCTATCCCACCCTAACAATGGGACACGTATTTATACCACAGCCTTGTTGACTTAGTGATGGTGCCCCTGGGAAGGAGTTAGCCCAGCTAGTTTGTAAATTTTTTTTTTCTTTCTTTTTTTTTCTGTGAAGAGAGCATTCAGCATGGAAGCTGGCCATGAGCAGAGGGGTTTTAGCACAGCAACTTAAAAGCACACTGTGCACAATTTTGGCACGGCCAGTGATCAGCACCAGCACTTGGTCTCTGTGTGGCTCTCCTGTTGGTGGGTCAGCTCTCAGCACGGTGGGGAAGTCCCTGGGTGAAGCCCATGAAAAGAGTACAAAAACAGCCCACCAGGCACTGGCTGGTGGCTCAGCTGTCCTCAGCGGTGAACTTCTGATGCAACTTCCAGCCACAGGAAAGAGCATCTCATCCAAAGGGCTGACTCGCCTCCAAGCTGCATACCAGCATAACTGGAAGAGGGGATCTGGCTCTACTGCTGCATGCCTGCGACCAGAGCAACCATTCCCTCCTCCAGGATGGGCAAGGGCAGGGGCAACCAGCAGCACATCGTCTGTGTGGCACCGACAGCGCTCTTTGGGAAAGCAGGAGAGGATTAACAACAGTGACATAACAGCCATAGCTGTCTAAAGGAGAAACTGATAAACTGGGGGTTTTCCTGTCTGCTGACCCACCCTTTGATAAGCACAACTAATAACCTCCCCGTGAGTTAGCAGAGATTCTTTTCAGTCTTGTCTCTTGTCTGTAAGCATCCCTCCCATGGCTGTGGCTCCTGTGGCTGTAGTGACATCCGTAGCTGTGAGGGATATCTTGCCAGGTCACTAATGAGTAAGGACAGAGAAGGTTTGCAGAACAGTGAGGTGAAAGGGGATGAGAATAATCCACAGTGTGCGTAAGGGAAGGATTGCAAAAATCAGGAGGAGGAAGATGCAAGACTTGGAGGGAGAGAAGTGAATTTCCTCAGGGAGGCAAAGACTAAAGAAAAGAAAACACCAGGCAGGGAGAACTGGGTTGGAGAGAAGAGCAAGAGAGAACTGAGAAGCTGGAGCAAAGAAATTGAGGAGGATGGCGGCCAGGAATGAATGGGAATGGCCGAGGAGAAAAGAGAGAAGTAGGTAAAACCACCGTGAATATAAAAGAAGTGTGATAATGAGCAGGAGAAGATAAGTCTTTTAAGAAGAGGGAATGTGAACCAAGAGAGGAAAGAATGATATGAAGATTAAAAAAAAAAAAAAGAAAAAAGAAAAAAAAGAGAGGTGGAAAGAGGACAAATAAGAGAGAGACATGGGAGAAAGCAGGTGAAACAAAGAGACTAATGCTTCTCTTAAGCTAATGAAGTTTCTTCTTTATGGTTCAATATTGTGTTGCAATGTCCCAAGAGGCATTTTGTTTCTGTGGCTCTTTTGACCACTTCTGGCTGATTATTCCGGGTTCCAAGACAAAGTAGTTATAAGAAAAGGAAGAGAAAATAGCCTAAAAATCACCAGAATGTGTCACAAGGCTTTGTCTGAAGGACTGCTCCCTTCAGAGAGAATTGTTTCTAGAAAATAGCTCAGATGCTGACACCCCCCGTGTGCATGTGGCTGGCCTCGATGTTGCCCGGGCAGGCTTTTGGGGCTCCAAGATTTCTGAGCCCTCCCACCCACTTCGCTTTAAATGACTCTGTTCTGCTTGGGAGGGATGATGAGGAAGGGAGGATCCCAGCAGAGTCCTCTTGCCAGAATGCCTCAGAATCCCAAAGCTGGCTCTGATCCTGCAAGACTTGACCAATATTTGTTGAAAGTGGAGCAACTCACAGCTCAGGGTGGCTTGGCTCCACACACCGCTCAATGGGAAGTCAGAAAAGCAGGAGTGGGCAGTGATTTCTGTTCTCATCTGACCCTTCTTTTCTTTCCATGCTTTGCTTATATTAATTTGGTGTCTTTCATTTACTTACTGAAGTGAGACATAAACATTTTAAATTCAGGAGTTAGATGGGCCTGGCAATCGCTGCATCACTAAGAAACCTGAAGCCCTGGAGTAAACATCAAAAGAGAGCCTTTTCTCTGGAATTATATAATCCCCGCGATGCATATGGGAATTGAATAATTTCTTACAGTGAAGGGGCAGGGCAGTTTGGTTAATATAAGCGAGGCATGTAACTGCACTGCACGTCTTAAACGGCGGTTCCATGGAACAGCAAATCTGGCATAAAGTGCCCCGTGCTGGACCAGAACATCGCAGCTACGCGCTGCCAAGCACTGAGCTAGCAGAAACTTACAGCACTGGTTCAAATATGTTTGACAAATTCTGGCAGACATCATACCGAATCAGGTAACGGCTGTCCTCCAGTCAGCACAAAACTGGCATAAATACCACATTGTGTGCTCTGGCTAATTCAACAGAAACATAATTGTGTGCTTAGGCCAGATCTGGATCCAGTACGCACAAGGAGGGGCTCCTGCAGTGCCAAAATCTCCTATTAATGAAGTTGGAAGCAGAGCCATATGCATTAGCTGCATGCTCTGAATTCTTAGGAGTGGCAGCAGTTCATGGCAGGGGGCTTTTTCAGAACAATCATAAAAGGCCATATTTTTTTTTCCTGGGGTGACAAAATCATTTCCTTTGTTTCCAATAATCTTAGCATTTGCAAATAGTGGACCAGTCCTTTTGTTTGCTGCACTCGTTTATTGCAGTTTGTACTCCCAGCACAGCCAGCATTAGAATGACCAGTTCCTCTGCTCTCCATCACTGTCATGTTGTCAGACACAGTTATGCTGCTCTGTTTAAAGATGCTGATCAAGCACCATGTTGACTGGATTGCTGTGAAAGTAGTTTGCCATACATGAATTGTCACTTAAAATCAAAGATTTTTCTCATTAAAGATAGAAGGAAGAAACTTGGTGGATCAAAACACTCCCCTAGTTTTGTCTTAATGTACATATCCCAGTGATGAGCCAGAATGGCCCTTGGTATTTTCTTGTTAAAGTTTCATGACCAAATTGAAGAAAAGCTTGGAATGATTTCTCTACCTCTGGGGAAAATCATAGACTCTCAACATTATGCTTAACCATCCCTGCTAGAGATGATTTATTCCTGGAGCTCATAAAGCATTCTTGAAAGAGTAAAATTTTTGCCTTGTGACTGCAGCATATTGCAGCAAGTGTCGGGCACTTTCAAAACAATTTCCTGAGAGGATGTGAAAGGTAGATTGAGATCCAAGGGGACACATTTTTCTCCTTTCCCTCATGCTCCCAACTCTCCTTCCCTGTTGTGTAGGAAATGCAGTGCAGAACAGAAATCTCAGTAGACTTAGAGGAATACTTTTCTTCATTTTAAAAAGGAAAGCAAGTCTCAAAAATTGAAGCTAAACCCAAGTAACTGTAATACCACTTGGCACTTACATGCAGGTTTTCATCTTCTAGCCACTTTACATTAAGTAATGAATCCTCAGGACTCCCCTGTGGAGTAGGTGGCTGAGTATTATTAGCCCCCTTCTGCAAATGGAAAACTGAGGTGGAGATGTTAAGTACCTTGCCTAAAGCCACCGAGGGATTCTGTTGTAGAGACAGGATCAGAGGTTAGGCGTTTTTGTGCTTTCAATTCCCATATCTATTGTGTCACTTAAGTACAGAGCCATAATTGAATATCATAATGACCCAGGGGTGGAGCAATTCCAGCTGGTCAGATCTGTGCACGGCTCCTCTGATGGCCAGAGACTCAGCCGTACATTTGCATGGAGCAGAATGGAGCAAGCAGACCTAGCATGCAGCATGAAGAAGTGTCATTTTCTTTGGCTTCCCCAAGCATGCCATTGAGTAATGAGCTAACTCTGCATCAAGCTTAATTTAATCATTTACCTTAACTCTAATCAAGCTTAATACCTTGGCTTAATTTCAAGGTACAAGGCTAAATATTTTCCTCACTGGGTGTTTTCACAGTAAGAAATACACCTTTAGATAGAGATGCCACTGGTAAGACCGAGACTAGTGTGCCTTTACTTTTGCATGGAGCAAAAGTTGTTGTAGTGGAGCATACAACTCCCCTTCTGGCTAATTCACTCTTGAGCAGGAGAGTGTGAGACCAAACTCAGCCCCAGTGCTCTGGGCTAAAGCAGATTCTTCACTAGCTTTACAGATAGGATTTGTGTGCTTTGTGGTCCTCACGTTACACATTCAGAGGAGCCTGGGTGTCCATCCAGCAGAGCATGTGGGCAGAAAAAAAAAAAGAGCACAACGTGAAAATCAGAGAGGTAAACTATTACCAATTGACACACAGTTGCTATTATGAATAAAAGGAAATGCATTCCCGTAAACTCACAAAAGAGTGCTCCCATTTAAGTGTTCTTCAGAGAAAGAAAGGCTTGTTTTTCCTTTGCTAAATGCCTATTTCCATGAGCTGCATTTCCTGCATCTTGTTGAACTGTGTTGCTGTCACATCAAGATGTCATCCGACATTAAAGCATAAGAGCAGGCTTGTATCTCTCACAAGCTGCCAATGTATATTTATGTGGCACAGGATGATACATCCAAAAGGGGAGGTCTGTATAATGCTTTTGGTTGCTGATGTTTTCTTTCCGACCCTTGCATTAATATGGAACCAGCACAAACGCATTCAACTACTCACCGACTGCAGCTCTGCACGTAGCACACATATTATTCCAGTTGGGAAGAGGAGTTTATTTTGCACCTGATGGGGCCTTCATTTTGGAACGGAATCAGAGGGTTTGGAACTAGAGACCAATCCACACCCCAGGCTTATTTTGTTTATGCGCAGGAAAAATGTGGAAATCCCCAGCTGCTGCATGAAGTGGTCTGGGTACAGATGATTCTTACATCGACAACACAGGACTATGTTTGCTCGGGGAATGCGGAGCTGACATCTCACTCCTGTGAATTTTGTCTAAAGATTTTGCCCTGAAAACCACCTAGTTTTACAAATTGGTCACTAGAGATGATGAAAATCGGCCACGCATGAACATTTAAAAAAAAAGACAATATGATGATCTTTTTGGAGTTCTTTGAGTAACTCCAGGAGCAGGCCAGTGAAGTGGGATGATTTGAGTAAAAAAGATTATGTGATAACACAATCTGAGTCACATTAATTGGATTGTCAGAGGTTACTGGACCACACCAGGAGGGCAATGAACCTTGTATGGCACTGACACTAACTGGTATTTATCTTTTACTTTAAAATTTAATAATACAACTCCACCTAGACCAGAGTATTAACCTGTCTGGAGTCTTCTTGCTTGGGCTATGTGTTGTCTGGACAGAAGACTTTACCACTCAACTGTGCTAGGCCCTGAGGAATCCAGCCGAGCTGCATGCAGCTCTGGAATAGGCCCTTTTGGCCAGGGTCTTAATGCATGATCCTCTGGTGATCACCTCGCTTGATCAGAGCACAGATCATTTAGTGCAAAGGAGGTTCCCTGCATTGTATTGACGGTGATCGTATTTTTGTTAAACATGAATGTTTCCAACTGTGCAAAGTGTTTATAAAGCACACAACACATGTCTGACTGAGTAAAATATGTTTTTAATATAATGTAGTATAAGCATGTGGAAAAAATAATGGAGACTGCTCTCCATTCAGAATTCAAGCACAACAAACTGTAATTACATCAGCATTTTTAGAATGTGTTTGTTCTTAAGCATTTCATTAAATATTAAGGAAATATAAACACATATGTTAAAAATTGTGCGACGTCCTATGGATCGCATAGGAAGGACTGGATTTTCCTTTCACGTTGACGTTGTGTCATAATTCCAGGAGGTCATCGCTGACTGTCACCTAGGAGGACTGGGCCTGCAGTTCCCTGTGCATGAACTGCAAAGGGAAGGCATGTCTGGAGCACAGCCATGTGTATTTTGTATGAAAATGTGTATTCTCTTAAGCTATGTGTCTTTCTTACTTATTCTGAAGTAAGCAAAACCAGCTGAGCCCTTTGTTTAAGAACAGCTCTTAAGAATGGCTCTTTGGTCATCAAGCATTTCACCTTTTCACAAGTCAGAGGAAGGGTAGCAGAATTGTATTAACGTTCTCAGCTGGCCTGATTTGTGGGGCCATTATAACAAGGCCATCCATTCAAACCAAGCGTATTCTTCTTGAAAACTAAAGGCAATTGTTTGGTCATTAAAAGAATTGCACTGCAGTGGAAACCACTATTTTTTTTGTTAGCACCGAAGAACAGAAATTCCCAAAGGCAAGGGGTTGGTTCGGGCATGCTGCTCACGGGCTCCACCAGAAATGCTGTCGAAACAGCACGTAACGGAGGAACTATGGGATGGTTGAGGCTGGAGATCATCTGCCAAGGCATTGTAATGCCTCTGTTTTCCTTATCCACTGAAACCCCACCACAGCTGGCCTGCAGGCAAGGCCTACTACTGGCCGATGGGGTCTCCCCTGAAAAGGTGAGGCCTGAACTTCTGGCTGTGTTTGGTGCAGCCTTGTGAGTCATATTTCTCACTGGGGAGAAGATCCCTGATGTTGGGCTGGGCAGCAGTGTGTGTCTGTTTTGGGGCACTGCAGCCCCGACATTGCTCCCGCATGCAGCCCAGCCTGCAGCCACTGCTGCTCTGGCCAGGGCGCAGCTGGAAGGAGGAAGAGGGGGCCAGAAGCAGCATCATGCCATGGCAGCTCTTGGCAAAAAGGAGGCAGAAATGCAAGGAAATGCCTGGCAGATGTGTGAGGTTATGTCTGGGTGCTGATGAGTGCCTCAGGGAGCCTCATGCCATGTGGCTGCTTGAGGGGTTGTGGGCTAATGTGGGTGGACACTGGTGTCCTCTGGTTTTGGTGCCACTGAAAAGTAGGGGCAGTCACTTAGTCAAATCAGCTCTGTCTGCTGTGGAAATGTTGCCTTGAGCAAGGCCTGGGAGTGTTGCCTTTTTCATCTCCATGTAAATGGATTTTCCTGTAAATACACAAAACACCAACCCAGCTCTCAGGTTGTTCTGTGTAGCTGACCCCCTCTGGAAAACCAGGATGATGAGGTTAATGTTCTTTTCACATCTGGCAGGGGTTAACCCAAAAGCTAATAGTACTGCAGCAGCTTTTACTTTGAAGCACCCTTTCCAAAACTACCTTTAAATTTTACCTGAAAAAAAAAAAAAAGAGGAATAGAAGGAAGCAATGCATTGGCCTGCAAAGGTGCCCACAGCACTAGGTGTTTGACACAGGCTGGGATTCATCTACTTTGCTACCCACAAAGTTCATCTCAAGATTTTCTCAGGGACACAAACACACCTAACAATGTTCACGGTTCTAATACCAGCATCCTGGGAAATGAAGTGGTGTGAGCTCACTGCTCACAGCCTGATGATCCAGGAAGCTGCACTATCAGCTAGTAGCAAGCCAGTGCCCTGAAGTGGTTTTAGGGTGCAGTTAAGGACTGGAAGGGCTTTCCATGGCATATGGTATAAAGTTGGGACTACAGTCACTGAAGGTTACTCAAGATTTCATCGTTCTTCTCCTATGAGCAAGCCAAATTACTACTCAGGTAATTACATGGTAATTCAGGATCCCTGGATTCCTCTCCTGGATACTCCCCTACTCATTTCTTGTCTCAGGGTGCTGGTGTTGGTGTCCGCTATGACGAATTGTCACTGACTCTGGGGCTGACGTGTTTTGACTGCTGAATGAAGCAGCCGTGACTCCTTCTCCCAGCCTCGGTGCTGAGTACCTGGACACTCCTGTCTACCCTGTGAGACCTCATTAGTCTCCATGGAGCCCTTTGCTATTCAAAGAAGTGCAAAATGTCATCATTAGTACATAAAGAAACATTTTATGCAGTACTACCTCTGATAGCACATTTTTTTCCAGCCCTGTTTTGCTCATGTGTCACTCAGTAGAGGAACTGGAAGGCTCTTCTCCCCGTGGTGAACACCCAGCACTTGCAACGCGTGGCCCTCGCTTGGACTTGCCGTGGTTTGGGGCGTGCGTGGGTCCGTGAACAAGCCTGTGCACACCCGTGTACGCTCGCAAAATGCTCGGGGTGAGTTCCAGGTTAGCCATTAGATTTCCCCTGCTATTACTCTACTGTACATATTCCTGGTAGATTAGAGCAGATTTTTTTTATACGCTCTTCTATAAAAAGTGAGCTGTATTGATTGCAGCAGAGTGAGCTGCTGTGGTTGATATCCGAGCGCTAACCCAGATAGGGATTAGCATTACATCAGACATCAGGCGAGGGAACCTGGCGAGCTGCCAGCCTGTAAAAATGGAAGGCATTTGCGTCACTGTTCCCTTGGTAATGCTTCTTGGAGCCATGTCAGCTGTCCCCCGAGGTTGTTTCCTTAATATGTCAACAGACATTCCTGAATCTTTAATGCTGAATAGCTCTTTTTCCTCTTCCAAAAACACTTAGGTGACAGAGTAGCTAGTGTCTCCCGCTGCCTGGTGCATTAAAAAATTATATATCTCTGTAGACCAGGCTTAATACCTTTTGGGGGAGGGTTTACATTCGGATCTGGGAGAAGCAAAAAGCCCATCTGCAATATGATTGCTGTTTGTGTGTGCTGAGAAAGCGGCAGCCCTGCTTGAAACCCCTCCTTTTTTGCCTCTGAAGCATCCCACTGGAGCGAATGAAAGCGTCTGTGTTAGATTACTTGTTGGAATTTGCTAACATTTGGGGTAAACCATCTGACCTTGCTTTAGGAATTCAAGTTAAATACAATAACTTCAGGTTAATGCCTGAAAGCTCTAGGACTGTGTGTGCAGTGACCTCTAGCTTCCGGAAGCCATTTGTTAGTGCCAATTGTGAGAAATACTTGGAGGTTTTATCCAATGACATTTTCACCTTTCTGCTGCTCCATGCGGGCAGCTGCTATTTTCTGCTTGAAGAATTAAAATGCAGCTAACGTACAGTTTACCAAATTAGAACATGTGTCCTTTCAGCTGAAAGTAAACAACTCCTATCTCAAAGACCTTTTGTTCTTAGGTGACAACTTTAAGTTTGCCTTGCAGTTGCTGTAGTAATTAATCACAGCAGTGTAATTTAATAGTTCGGGAAGAGCAAGCGGAGAAGTCATTCTAAGAAATCACTTTGTGAGTAACTTAATTTTGGTCGAGGAGTGTTTGTGACGATTTATCACTGCCATACGCGTTTTGTGCAAGTCACTGATCATGCCGGTCAGATCAGAAGCGCTGCTGCTTAAAGCCCCATTCTGCCACGGGGGCAGCGAGCTCTGTTATTTTGCAGTCTTTCCCCAGTACTGAAGGACTTCCCGATTCTTTGCTTGAGGAATTTGACCCCGGTGGTGGAATTTGCCTCCTGCGTAGCGCCCCGCAGGGAGCTGTTTCCTCAGGCTGCAGAAGGTATCAGCATGCCTGACACGGCGGGGGGGTGCGATGGGAGCCATGGGGCAGGGGTCTGGGCAGAGGCAGGCAGGAGAGGGAGTCCTGAGCAACCTGAGCAGCAACCCAAATTAGCAGTGGGGCAAACTGACCAGGTCCTTCGGGCTGGGAGCCCAGCGTTCGCGTACACCCATGTACGTACATTTGCGAGGGGGGCTGACGCTCCCGGCCGAGCCATGTGCCTGCTTGCGTGTAGGGTTGCCACCTGGCTGCTCTCCAGCTGGCAGGGCTGCCTTTACTCTGCACAGACAGGGGACTGGTGACTCAGATCAGCCTGCCTCTTCGTTATGTGGCAGAGCACGGGGCCCCCACGACCAAGCTGAGGCAAGAGGCAGGCAGCCCCGGGGGGCAAACAGCTTTGCCCTTTGGTGTCCTGGGACGCATCATGGGGAACTGGCGTCCCCATGAGCCCAGTGATCCCTGAGCTCCGTGCAGCAGCAGGCATTGCTCGGCCTCTTGTCCACACCACAGCTCCCCCAGCCTCTGCTGGTCCTTGGCACCAGAGCCGGGCACCGCTGGGCATTTGTTCTACCCTTGTCCTTGTGCTACCTCTGACGGGAGCACCACTCCTCTGGGGAGGCTGGGAGAGGGCGGTGGAAAAAACGTGACTCACGGGGGTAATCCAAAACTGGGACGGGGTCATATGCTGGCGGCAGGTGGAGAGCGCTGACTTCCAAACCGAGGGGCATTTGGCTGGAGGTTAGCAGCCCTGGCAAGAGAGAGGAGCGAGGCCCCAGCCGAGCAGCTGGGCTTGATGCAGAGAACACAGATGCCGGAGACAGGACTTGCCCCAGCTGGAGCTGCTTTTTCCTCTTGGCTGCTGCAGGGGCCAGCGCGGGAGGAGAGGCTGCAGGGCTTTACTTGCCTTGCTGGGGAGATTGCCTCTGTGCTGGAGGTCTCCTGCAGGAGAGGAAGCCCCCGCAGCAGGGCCAGTGACGTGGGGAGGGCAAGGAGAAGTGCAATGGCTCCTTCTGTGAGGCACAGCTTGTAGCTCCCTGCTCCCAGGATTGCTGCCTTCCTTCCCTTCATCTGCTGCAAACCCCGGGTTTCTCACCAGCAAGACGATCCCTGGATCTTCCTTCAAAGCCCCGGCCCTTCCCTATTGTCAGCCCTGTGGCTCCTCTCTGTCTGCTGCTATCACACACTTCTATATTTAACACAAGCCTCCTGTCTTCTGCAGAGGGCATTTTCTGAGGTAAAGTTAAATACATGGCAAAACCTTCAGAAACAGAGCCTTGAAATCACAATTGCTCCATCCTCACTGCTCGTGTCATTATTCAAATAGATAGCTGAATGAAGGTCAGCTCTTGAATAGGTTTGAATTTTTATGGTGCTGTGAATGAACTG